ACATTGAGATGCAATCCACATAAAGGGCTGTAGTCTTTCATCTTCTGCAGCAAGCACTGGAAATGTTCCTCACTTTCAGCAGCAAAGTTGTGTCATCTGCATAACATGTTATTGATGAGTCTTCCTCCAGTCCTGATGCCATATTCTTCTTCATAGAGTCCAACTTCTTGAATAATTGGTTGAGTATACAAAAGTATGAGGTTAGAGGTCAACAGCTGCTCTACAAGAAAATGATAGGCAAGCTCCTCCCATGCAATTAACTGCCTCTGAAAACCTGCTGATGGATTAGCTATAGGTTTTTTCTGACTCTACAGTACACAACAACAATATACAGATTGAATAGGTGTGAAGAAAAGATATAACCCTGACTTATATCTTTCATAATTCTAAGCCTTGCTCTGTTTGCACAATAGCCTCTTGGTCTAGGTATAAGTTTCTCATCAGGACAATGAAGTATTCTGGATTCTCATTTTTCTCAATGTTAGCCATCTTTTGTTATGAGCTATACAGTCAAATGCCTTTGCATAGTAAATAAATCACAAGTAGACATTCTGCTGGTATTCTTTGATTCCAAGATACATCTGACATCAGCAGTGATATTCCTGGTGCCACAGCCTCTTCTAAATTCAGCTTGAACTTATGGCAGTTCTTTGGCTGCATACTGATCCAACCAGTTTTTAATGATTTTCAACCGTGTTTTACTTGCATGTGATATTAATGCCCTCTGGAATCTTCTGTTCAACTCTTTAATATCTTGATTTCTTCCCTTTCTTTTGGCTTCTTGGCGCTCCAGTGCAATATTTAGAGTTTTTTCTGACAACCATCTTGGTCTTTTCTTCCTCCTCTGTCTTCGTAATGAACTTTTGCATTCTTCCTGGATGATATTCTTGATATCCTCTCACAGCTCATACGGTCTTTGCTCATTAATGTCCAAGTCCTCAAACCTCTTCCTGAGATGGTTTTGAAATTGAGGTGGGATAGACTCAAGGTCAAATTTTGGTTCCTGTGAATTTGATTTCATTTTCCTCAGCTTCGGCTTGAACTTGCATATGAGTAGTTGGTGGTCTATTCCACAATCAGCACCTGGCCTAGTTTTCACAGCTGATATTGAGCTTCTCCAGTGATTCTTTACACAGATGTGGAATCAATCTGATTCCTGTACATACAATCAGGTGAAATCTATGTGTATACCCTGCATTTGTGTTTCTTATAAAATGTATTTGCAATCTCGTTGATTGGGCAAAATTCTGTCATCCTATCTCAAGTTTCATTTCTGTCACCAAGTCCATATTTTCCAACTGCTGATCCTTTTCCTCTATTTCCAACTTTTGCATTCCAGTCACCCATTATTTTTAATGCATCTTGATTGCATGTTTAATCAATCTCTGACTGCAAAAGTTGGTAGAAATCTATTTCTTTTTCTTTGGCTCTGGTTGTTGGTGCATATATTTGAATGATTGGTGGTATTCACTGGACTTCCTGGTATGTGTATGGGTATTATCCTATCCTTCACAACATTGTATTTTAAGATGGATCTAGAAATGACTTTTTAACTATGAAAGCAACCCCATTTTCCCCTCACATTTTTGTCTCCAGCATAGTACATCTGACTCAAAATTTCCCACGCCAGTTCATCTCATTTCGCCAATACCTAGTATGTCAATATTTATGCGTTCCTTTCCTTCTTAATAACATCCAATTTTCCTACATTCATGGTTCTTACCTTCACTGCTCTAATCATTACTGTCTGCTTACAGCTGTTCCGCCTTCTATTTGTTTCCATACTTGAGGGCTCAGCATCAGTTGTCATATCTGCTAGTCTAGGTGTGCTCTGTTGTTCATAGGATCATATGGTACTTCCTGAAATATTTCAGTGTTGGCTAATTCTTAGATTCCTAGTATTCAGTAAACTTTAAAAAACTGTCATTAGAAAAGAATCAACTCAAAGCTAACTCTCTTTCTACATTTGTTTGCATACATAGTTCATATACATTGTGTTGTTTCCTACAATAATTCTCATTTATTATGTTTTATAAAATTAATCACCATTGAACTATGCCCACCATTACCATATCTTTCCAGATGCCCACTGGATCTTTCCCACTTCCTTTACTCCCCTCCCTCCACCACAAAATTATTCGACCCTATGATTTCCTCCCTGCCCACCCTTTTCCCTCTCTGTGTGTTCTTTGTTACAGTAGAGGAATCTCACTGGCTCTTTTTGTGGTTTGTTTATAATATTTTTATGTAACAAGTATCTTTTTTTATAATTTTTTATTAATTTTAATGAAAATTTACAGAGACTTTGGATTTTCATTCATTCATTGTTGCACTTTTCTCCCTGCCCACCTCTCCCCCCCAGCACACTCTTCTCTTCGAAAAGTAAAAGAAAAGTTCCCCCACTGTTTTACAATCCCTCCCCCCAGGTCCACTCCACTATGCAGCCTTAATTCTGGACTCGTCATGACAATAATACCTAATCACATATCCCTTTTAAACAGTTTTTTCCCTCATCTGTTTCAATGCAGTATACATTATTTATCCCATCTTTCTCAGTCTCCCCCCAACCCCGGTGTCAGTCCTGTTTTACAACAGTGGGACTATGCAGTATTTGTCCCTTTGTAACTGAGATATTTCACTTAGCATAATGGTCACCCATTTTTAATAATATTACATGAGTTTCTTGTTTTTCAATGCAGCGTAACGTTCCATTGTGTGAATATACCACAGTATCTCTATCTATTCGTTTGTTGATGGGCACTTAGGTTGTTTCCAACTCCTTGCTAGTGTGAACAAAGCCATGGTAAACATGGGTGTGCATATATCTGCTCGGGTGGCAGTTATGGTCTCTTTAGGTTATATTCCCAGTGGTGGGATTTCTGGGTCAAATGGTATCTCTATTTGTAACTTTTTGAGAAAGCGCCACAGCACCTTCCACAGTGGTTGCACCATTTTACACTTTCACCAACAGTGAATAAGGGTTCAAGTTTCTCCACAACCTTGCCAGCATTTCTTGTTTGCTGTTCTGTTAAGTTTTGCTATTCTGACTGGGGTAAGATGATATCTCATAGTTGTTTTGATTTGCACCCCTCTTAGAGTTAGGTATTTTGAACATTTCTTAATGGGCTTGTAGGCCATCTGAATGTCTTCTACGGTGAAGTGTCTGTTCATATCCTGTGCCCATTTTTCCAATTGGATTGTTTACCTTTATCTTGTTGTGGTGCTCAAAGATTTTATAAATTCTAGATTTAAGTCCCTTATCTGACATGTCATTACCAAATACTTTTTCCCAGTCTGTGGCTTCCCTTTTTACCCTGGTGGACTCTTACACACTGATCTTGTATCATGCCAATCTACTAAATTAGTCTACTAGCTCTGACAGGCTTTTTGTTAAGTCCTTGGAGTATTCTGTGTACACTATCATATTATCCAAATATCACTGCTAACTCTTAAGCAAGTTTTGGGAAGCTGTAATTCACAGGGGCATTGCTCATCTTTCTCCCTTGGAATGCCTGATGGATTTGAACTGCCAAAGAAGTGCTGTTTTTTAGTTAACAGCACAACTCCCTATGGACTAGGCCACAAGAGCTCCCTAAGAAAATTAAGGAAAGTAATTAAAGTTTAGCCTTTTAACTGTTTGACAGTCTTATATAAGCTTCTTGTTCATTTTACCCTCAAAACAAAAGTCCAATGAAAGTTGCAAACACATGAAAAGAAGAAATGGTGTCTAGAGTGCAGCATCCAACACAACTCAAGTAAACACATTATTATCTGATCAAAATAATTAGAAACAAAAATGAACGAGAAATTGATTTTTTTTTCTTTGCATAGGTTTCAATTCTGCCATCAAGGGAGTGGCATAAACACAACATTTTACAAGGAGAAAAAAAGCAAAATTCAAATAAAACAAAAAGTTAACCTAACGCATTTTAACTATAGTCATGATGTACTTAAAGAAAATAATTCAGTGGTAACATTTCTATTTGGCACTTCAGCCCAACCTTACCACCTTATTGACCAACTTAGACAAACAAAAGGTTGCCTAATCCATTAGGGAGTTAGAGTAATGATCCAAAACACATCTTTTCCAATATTCTCTGTTCTTATTATGATGTGGTTGGAAATTTATGATTAAAATTTTATGAGCTGAAGTCAGTCTTTACCCTTAAAAAGATAAACAGTAAAAATATTTTTATAATCTTCTATACTTCATTTGAAGAACATAAAACTTCTTATTCACGTTAGGGAGCCAAGAGTGCACTTAGAAAAATCTTGAGAAGCCAGTCCTTTGAGGAGAATATTATGTTTGGAAAGTGGAAATTCATCAAAGAAGAAGGCTCTCAATGAAATTAACTGACACAATGTCTGCAACTATGGTCTTTTAAAAAGCAGACTGATGTATACTTCATTGAAACAGATGAGGGAGAGAACTGTTTAAAAGGGATATAGGATCGGGTATTAATGTCATGACAGGAGTCCAGAATGAAGGCTGCACAGTGGAGTGAACTTCAGGGGAGGGAATACATAACAATAAAGGAGTTTTGTTTTTTTTTATTTTTCAAAGACAAGAGTGAATTTGGGGGAGGGGTGGGCAGAGAGAAAAGAGCAACAATGAATGACTGGAAACTCTAAGTCTCTGTAAACTTTCATTAAAATTAAAAAATAAAATGAAAAAAAGCAGACTGTGAGGATGGCATATGATCAAGAAAGGTTGTTGGTTTGGGGGGGGGGTGTATATGTGTGTGTTTCCTGTTGTACGGAGGGTCTCTTTGAGCTGAAGTCACCTTGATGTCAACTAAGAGTAAAGGGTAGGTAAAGCAAGCATATTATTCCCATTTTACAAAGAAGGAAATAGAAACCCTGAAAGTAAATGATTCACTAGCCTGAAATAAAGTATTGGGGAAAGTGCTTAGTTTGAACTCCTCAGTATTCTTTCTAAAATGACCTTTCTACTCCATGCAAAATAATAGCACTTCAAAATCTTTTAATCTCCATCTTACCAAGCTTCCTGGAACTTCTTCATCTGGCAAGGCTTCTCTTGATTCCGCCGACTCCTAAACCATCTTTCAATCTGGCGTTCCGGCAAGTTACACTTCTTTGTCAGATCATAAATATCAGTCTGAAAGGGATGAAATGAATGATAGAGAGCAGAATCAGATTGTCAAGAACTTAAGAGATTTGTCAAGGTTAGATTCCGAGAACTTGTATACCAGAGATGAGAGAGATTCTTTCATAAGTTCTTGAATCAGTGATTTTATTTCTCATGCTTATGAAATCACAAAATTCTAAACAAGAGAGAATGTCAGTATCCCAATACTCTTAGTTAGTAGCAATGCACATGTTTAATTTGTTCATATTTATGTTCTTATTGATAAGTATTTTAATGCTTCTTAGTTGCTTGGTACTATAGTTTATTTGAAGAAGTGTAAATCCTAAAAGTTCTAGTGACTTGTTAAAGATCTAAAAGTAGTATCAAAATGAAAATAAGAATTTAACTGGTGTGACATTTCAATTATATCACATGATTTCCAGGAGATAATGCAGAAAAAACTTAAACAAGTGTTGTTTACCACTTTCAAATTTCATCAGAGATAGAGCCTATTTGAAACTAATATGAAATAATTCCAATCAAAAGAAGAAATAATTGCAACAAAAAGTATGAATGCATTCTGCATTCTTCTGGAAAGTAGAAGTGGTTGTTGTTATGTGCCATTGAGTTGGAATAACTCATAGAGACCTTATATAACAACTGCTCTGAACTTTGCCCTGTCCTGAGCCAACCTCACCATCTTTGACACTTCTGACTCCATTGCCAAAGTCACTGTGTCATTTCATCTCATCTAGGGTCTTCCTCTTCTGGCTGACTCTCTACTCTTCCAATCATGATGTCCTTCTCCAAGGGCTGGTCCCTCCTGGAGACATGCGTAAAGTACTGGATATTGTTTAAAAAGAAATGGAACACTTAAATATATTGACATAGTAGGCATTGGTGAGCTGAGATGGACTGGCATGGGTCACTTTGAATCAAACAATCATATGTCAAGAATTAAAAAGTAAGGAAAAATTGGCTTGCATAAAAAGAGCATATCTAGATCCATCTTGAAGTACAATGCTGTGAGTGACAGATAACTGTCCATACACATATAAGGAAGACCTGTCAATGTCACTAGTATTCAAATATGTGCACCAAAAACTAAAACCAGAGGGAAGGAAATAGAATATTTCTACCAACTTTTGTAATCAAAAATAGATGAAAAAGTGGCAGGTTATGATTTAAAATTTGAAACAATATTGATTAAGGTTTAACTCAAAGGTCACAAACTCCAGAGTCCACAAGGGTTAAAATATAAACATAAATGACTAACTGGACATAGTCTGTACCATAATGAGATTTTAAGTTATACTTTTCAACAGAAGCATGCTTTTGTGTGTGTGTAAAGCATCTATAATTCCACAAATTAACTTATTCTGCAATTGTTTTTGAAATATCAAACTTTGATATTTCATTCTCTGATACAAGATTTTTTCCTTAAATCTATTATTAAAAATAATATTGCATAAAAATTATCTTCACCTTCAGAGTTAAGGAAATCCATAAGAATTGCTATAATTTAGCAAAGGAAAAAGTACATGCCCTTTCCAAAAGAGACAGCTGGGGTCAAACTCTAGTTGATTGCAATCAGAAAAAATGGATGGTCTCAGAATTTTTATTTAAAATGATTAAATTATTCTTTTATGTTGAGTAATAAATACCTCAAGGAAAATGAAAAATAATTGATGGCCAACATTGTGAGGACCAAACCAAGTCTATGTGTAGGACATCAATTGTTTATCAGTAGAATAGTTATTTCTATAGTAATATATGTAGCTCATATAATTGTTCAGAAGCATATGACAGTAGTAAATAAACATCAAAGGTAAATCTAACATTGGCAAGGGATTCATTATAGCATATACGTGTTTAAATCTGAAACTGCTAGTTTATATCTGAAGCCAATTTGTTTAATAAATATATCTTGAAAACAGCAATAGTATATTATATAATTTTTTAAATTTAAGAACACAGGTGAATGTAGTAATGTTGTACAGAGAGAATTTTAGTTATTTATACTGAAAGAAGACAAGCTGCTGAGTAAAATAAGAAAATATGCTAATTTATACTACTAGCTTTACCTATCTCTTGTCAGTACCACCAAGCTTAACTTTGATTACATTCACTTGTCAAGCCTGGTAATATTGGCTTGACATTCAGTGTCGTATCAAGTGTCAAGCTTGGCAATACTAGCTACATAGATACTATTAAGACAGAAATTCCTTGTAAGCAAAGGTCTCTGGTAGTACCTTTTAAAGTTAATATAGGCAACAAGCATTTATGAAATATAATACATAATGTATGAAAGGTATTATGGAGAAGTAAATAAACATGTAAGAAAGAAATTATGTTCCCCTGAAATTATCATTGAATTAGGCAGACATGCATAAAAATATATCTTTTAGAAGTCTATTTAGAGGAGGTACAAAAATCAATGGTATAGATTACAAATTATAAATAGCATGTATAAATACATGTACAATACAAATTAAAATTGCTACTTTGTTCTAAACCCTATTACAATTACTTTGTATACTATTCTAAGTTTTCATATAGAAGTACTATGCTTGTAATACTTTTTTCAGTAGTACAACTCATATTCTAAATTAGCATAAAAGTTTACTTGGTTTATTCAGCAATCTGCCTTAGTCATAAAGTAAAAAAAAAGTTTTCTGTATGGCACTGGTCAACATAATGTACTAGTGGAATTATTTTGATTTCACATTTGAACACACTATAAAGTTGTGTACTTTTTGCTCCTTTCTTATCTTCCCAAATTCTAGTCATTATAAGCTACTAAAATTTTACAAACCAAGCTTTTGCTATATTTACCTACTATGCACATGGTAAATATCACCAAGTTGTGCCAAAAAACCTGAAGTACAACTACCTGGTCAGCGGACTGGAAGAGATAAATATTTGTTTCCATCCCTAAAAAGGACAACCCAACACAATGTGGAAATTATTGAATAGACAAGAACAGAAGACAAAAAAAAGTATTATAATAAAATGTGCAAAGAGTTGGCATATGGAAAATCAAAGGGATAGACTCACTCAGTATTTCTAAGCTGAAGGAATTGAAGAAAAAAGAACAAGCCTCAGGTTACAACACTTAAGGATGCTACGGGCAAAATATGAAATGACCCAGGAAATATTAAAAGAAGATGGAAAGAATACACAGAATCACTGTATCAAAAAGAACTGGCTGACACAGAAGAATTTAATGAAATAACAAATGACCAAGAGACAATGGTGATGAAGGACTAAGCTGTTCTGAATGAATCGGCAAAAAACAGCCCCAGGAACTGATGAAATGTCAACTGACTTGTTTCAACAAACAGATGCAGGCCTGGAAATGCTCACTAGGTTGTACCAAAAAATCTGAAGGACAACTGGCTGGAAGATATCTGTATTTATTGTCATTCCAAATAAAGTAATTCAACAAAATATGTAAGTTACTGAACAGTATTACTAATATCACATGCAAGTTAGGTCCTGCTGAAGATTGTCCAGAAATGACTGATTTTTCAGTCACAAGCACACCGACAGAGAACTTCCAGAAGTGCAAGCTGGGTTTAGGATAGGACATGACACTCAGAACCTCATAGCTAATGTCAGATAGATCTTGACTGAAAACAGAGTACCAGAGGAATGTCTATCTGTGTTCTATTGACTATGCAAAGGCATTTGACTGTGTGGATCACAACATACTTTAAGAACAATGGGAATCCCAGACCGTTTTATTGTGCTTATAGGAAACTTATACTTGGACCAGAAAGCAGTCATTTGAACGGAGCAAGGGTTTAAACACTGCATGGTTCAAAATGAGGAAAGACTGCATCAGGGACGTATCCTATCTCCATATCTTTTCCATATATATGTTGAATAGATCATTCATGAGGCTGGACTTAATAAGGACAAATATGGCATCAGGATTGAAGGAAGACTGATTTATCAACAACATGTGTTATTCATATGACACAACTCTGCTTGCCAAAACAGAGGAGGACCTAAGGCATTTGCTGCAGAAGGTGAAGACCTGCAGTCTTCAAGATAGAATGAGGCTCAACATCAAGAAAACAAAAATTCTCACCACAGTTCCAAATAACACCATCAAGACAGATGGAGAAAAGATCGAGACTTTACACAGTTTTGTCTTACTTGATTTCACATCCAACACTCTTGGCATCAGCAGTTAGGAAATCAAAGGAGAAATTGGTTTTTTTTTTTGTTTTTTTTTTTTTTAGAATCAAAATTTGTAAAGATTTTTAATTCATAAATAGTACAAAACCAGAAATTTACTTCGATTTTTTTTAACATAAGTTAACACGTTTGTCTGAGGCACCAATACATTCACATACAGATTCCCAGTTCCCAGGTTCAGTCAGCAGGTTAATGTTAACAAGATCAGTGCATTTCAAATTTCTTTAACATTAAACCTTTTAAGAAAACAATTCCCTCCTGTAAAGAACTCTTAAGTTCTTTCTAAAACACTACCACCTTTGGCCTTGTATTTATTGTAAGCCACATTCCTTGTTAAGGAATTTTGGGAAGTAGTTCTTCTGAGGGATTTTTGGGGGACATTCAAACCTCTGAACTCAAGTTTAGCAGCAGAGTGGGTAACATGTTTTCACCACTCAGGCATTAAATAGTCGTCCTGAGCTGAGGTTTCCCCGAATACTTATTAGAAAGACTAATTCAGACCTAAAGGCCAGGAAAACATTTGAAGGTAAAGTGCCCAGACTAGAGTTTCTCTTAGCAAAATAGCTAATAGAGGAAAAGCAGCAGCATAAAAATCAGGCTTGATTCAAATGCACAGTGTCTCTCATGCTATGTTTCAATCACTAATTTGCACTGGTTTATCCATTCAAATTTATAATAGCTCATGCTATTGACGGAAGTTGGTATTGTTATAACAATATGTAGAAGTATGTTTTATAACTAGTACAGGAACTAATGTAAAAGTGATTGAATGTATTTGAACTTTGTAAATAAACCAGTATAAAATTTTAAAGTTAAAGAAAACC